GTTACTAACAACGGTTGTAAACGGCTCATGCTCGTCAAATATATCTTTCATCAGTCTTGCCAAGATATCTATTAGTGGAACAGTTTTCACTCCGATTCTCATACTGATGATAAAGATGGTCGTGTGTGTGTGTGTTAGCATCCGTCACCCGTATGTTTTTTGGTGTGGTAACTGGAAACTGTCAGACACTGAACAACGGCTATTTTGTTTTATGATTTTTCCCCGACAAGGGGATAAAAACACATATATTTTAAAGATATCTTTCATCAGTCTTGCCAAGCTATCTATTAGTGGAACAGTTTTCACCGGAACCATCTCCCTCGTTAAAGATATCTTTCATCAGTCTTGCCAAGATATCTATTAGTGGAACAGTTTTCACCGGAACCATCTCGCCAAGATATCTATTAGTGGAACAGTTTTCACCGGAACCATCTACCTCGTTAATCATGGACTCGTTTATTTTTGTTAATTTTAGAGATAGATAGTAAATAACTGTTTTTTGTTTTTTTTTATTATGTCTGAATGTTTAACTTGATTATAAGTTCAAGTGTGTTCAGACATAAACCCGCACTTACAGACTTGTTCTACTTAACTTAAACACACGTTCGGAAAGGTGTAATGGATTCAGTTAACCGGTGCTTGACGCAGAGATGAGGGCATATCGCTTACTTGTGCACGGCAGGAAATACAAAAAATTATCCGCGGATATTACTTTCTTTGGAACAGTCATCATTCGGAGCAACATCAGTGGAACCTTCTTTTCGGTTTAGTTTTCACTGGAACCATCTCGCTCGTCAAATATATCTTTCATCAGTCTTATTATAGACGTGCGATACCCACGGTTGTTTTAAACTGTGTTCCTTTTTTTTTTAACCTATGCTTTACTCCAGCTTATAGAAGCACTAACACGGGGTGACGCAAACCATCGTGATTTCTCTAGGCTTAGCCCTCACCGTACATCGTTGATATCACGATGTAATATGACACCAGAATCCCTTTCACGTGATAAACACAAGAAAAAGATCACTTATTGAATCACAGACATGACTAAGAAAACTCGTAGCAAGAAATATCGTAGTTGTATGCGACATCTGCAACACCTTGTATGTCACTACTCTTAACTGTGTATTGTGTAGTGGCGATCGGCTCATTTCAGATAAGTAACAATGTATTAGTAATACCTAATACATCTTAAAATAAGAAGGCATTCATTCGGAAGGAAAAAAAAATACAAGTTATACTTGTACGTGGAGTCAACTGCGCCCTCCAGTGACAATTAAATGAACCACCCAAGAATGTCATACATATTTTAGATCAGAAGTTAACTACGTATGTTACTTGCGTGATGAACAACTATCGGAGGGGGGGGGAGATAGATTGTATGCATGAAAAATGCTTGTATATATGCACGGAAATAAACACAAACAGTTTGTAACACACCTCTTAACAAATGCCTTTTGTTATCCAAGCATACTTCACCATAAAGATTATCCACTGCGTGTTTGCATCCATCAACTAGAGCTGGCTGGCTCCAATACGGTAGTTTTTAAAACAAAAAAATAATTATAGTTATTCACTGTCCATACCTGAATTTAGTGCATCCGAAGCATAAAATATAAACAACGCTTACACCATGCTTGTGCATGACGTCAGATTTACCAAAATATTTAAGATTCCTTTTGTCAGTGTTTATACAAAACGTGAACTACAGGAGTCGGAAACTCCAGTTTCAAGAGCTAAAAGAAAAAAAGAGAGAGATCTACTTCTATATACAGGAAGGAGATGGCCTGTTGTAAGTACTTCATGGCCGACTAGAGCTATCAGCACTAGCCGGATATATATTAGTTTATAGCCTTACCACCTTCGTTGAAAAAACAAATACGTTTCCAAGTAGGAGATCCTTTCCTAAACATTGTCAAGCGAAAAGAGTTTTTGGTAACGCTTTATGCTACAATTTTTAA